TCCTGAATCTCGATACGAAGGGCCTCGTGCATCCGTGCTCTCCCTCCATTTTCTCGTCGGGAAATCGAGGTAGGCATTACCAGGGCGAAGCTATGTTGGCCAAAGGATGGTCAATTGAACATCCTTCACCGAAAAATTATACTACGTATAAGCTAAAATATTACTTATTATTGATTAAAAAAATAGACTTTAAACATCCTTGCATTAGCCCACTCACAAAGGGTGTTCAAAATTCAAATTTGGACACCCTTATTGAATTTTCTGGTTTCGCCACTGGATATTACCCCGATTTTACCCTACACAACCTCTTATGTATTCTCGCTTTAATTTGTGAATTTTAATATTAAATTACTTGATCTGGTGCAGACATCGAGTGCCGGTAAGTATTATTTTCCAAAAAGATCTTCGTCATTCTGACCTCCTGGTTCAGTTAAGACAAATAATTATATAGGTTTATTAATCTAACTTTGATAGCAATGGCATTAATCATAGGTGAATCCAACAACCTGACCTTAACGTAAAACAGTCTGATTAGTATTTTATTTATGTAACCAACTCAACAATTGTACAGCAGGAGATAGTTGACACTGATATAGGATATTTCGGTGTACGTTAATCTAGGATAAAGCAAATATTGGATTGGAATATGGCTGATTTAATGTAACTGCCAAATGAAGAACACTGGCTTCGGATGTGACAATGTTAAATTTTTCTTCCAAATTCCATCATTATCGAATATCGCCAAAATCATGGATGAGATGAAAGAAACTAAGGAAACTATGTAGGAGTAAATATCAAATACTTAGTTTTGTCAGACAAAAGAGAATAATAGGAATGATCAAAGGATCCAACCTGGCGCTTTGTTTAAAACTAATTAACATACTAATGACAAGTGGAGATGAATCTATTGAGGAAACTTGCCCGGTTCATAATCATCATTAAGTTTAATAAAATCATCTTATAACTTAGTTGACTTAATCATAGTTTTGGTTTTTGGTATTTTGTTCCGAGAAAATGATATTGTATAGCCGCTCTAAAAATAATAGTAAAAAATAATGTATTTTTTTGTATCATATACATTATGTATGTTATATATTAAAATTATACAAATTTTATACACTTTTCGACTATTAAATATAAATAATTTTTGGTACGGGTTAAAAGTGAAAAAACGCATTCTTGTTTTTCGTCGAGTGCTAATGCTCAATTGATATTGACTATTCATTATAAAAAGCCAACCAATGAATTGCAAAGTTGAATTGGACCACTCTAAAAAGCGAATTCATGACGAGTTTGATGTTGGCAAACTTTGTTGATCATGGAAGAAAGTATATTTATTTTTTATTTGTGCACAAATGAATAGAAACCATAATTACACAAAATGATTTATAGACAATGTATTTCTTCCTCCAAAGGCAAATTTGAAAGACAAAAAATATTGTTGCCGACGTCTTTGAGTCAAATAAATATAACATCGTTAATTTTTGTTCTCCCCCCCCCCCCCCCCCCCCCTCCAAATGCATTAGATGATATTCATATACCTCTTTTTGAAATGTAACTTTTATCCTAAATATTTCCAGCTGAACACCTAAAATTTGCAAGGATTCAATGACCTTGAAATAGACCTCGATAACAAAAAGGTACCATGAATCCGTTACAATTGGCTATCAGTCAATTTTAAGAAATCCCAAGTTATGAGTATCAATTCACCATAAGAAGGTATACGTAGAATGTGTTTCGAAGAGGTCAAGTCAACTTAAAACAATGTTAAGATTTAGCTCAAACATTGAAGGAGTAGACCCTCTAACCAAGAGCGGAGCTAGGTAGACTCGGGAGGGTTCCTTAATAAAAAAAAAAAAAAAATGACAGTGTATAGCCGCTGTAAAAATAATAGTTAAAAAATGTATAAAACTTATATATATTTTGTATGTTATATACAAAAATTATACAAATTTTATATACTTTTTCGACTAGCAGATACAAATAGTTTGTGGCACGGACTAAAAATGATAATACCCATAAAAAAAAGTATGTTAGTACAAATAAGGTAAAATCAAACTTCTTTGCATATATAATATAAATAAAATTTGAATCCCTATACATAAGGGAAGATTCTAGTGTAACAGTAAAGGTAATTAAGAATTGTTTTAAGACAAATCTAAGGTATAGCACTGTTGCATCTTTGAATCCCCTAAATAGAATTCTGAACTCCCTCCAGCAGTTACGAGACAAAACAAAAAAGGGGGCAGGGCGCAAATAACCTTCTACACTAAGCAGCAATTAGTCCACTGGGAGATGAGAATCAGTCCAGACCTAAATAGTACTACATTAACAATAGGATGTGCAGTAAATCACTCGTAATTTGGAAATCTGGAAGTTAATCCGCCAAAATTCGTGCCCCTGATTCTCAAAGGCGGATTTCAGGTGTATTTTGACCCTTAACAAATCCATGTGCACTATTAATATACGATCTAGCTTCACCTTTGGTGCCTGAACGGATGTATATATCCTCCATTAATATACCCGTACATGGAACTTTAGCACTGCAATCCAGCTTCACTGCAAATTCACCTTGGGAAGTTCCAAGTATCTGTCTAAAAGTAATACCACTAACCTGTACTGCTAAATCCTGAAACAATAAACGTATTAAAAGTTTAATTAAGAGGTTGATTTGGATCAGAAGTTGAACATTGTAAACAGAAATTACTTACATGTTCTGTACAGTTTTCATGATCACAATAGAACTGATCAATAATTATAGGGTTATGAGAATCTTGCGACAATATTCTCTCGAAAATGATGTTCCTTGCGTACCCTTGGCCTCCCTGATTAAATACAACAAAAAAATTGTCAAAACAATAAAGCCTACATGTATTTAAATTAATACAGTAACACCAACCTGCCACGTTTTTATTCGAGCACCATTTGTAGATTTTATGAACACCACGTCACTGACAAGAACATTTTCAACTGTGTCGTTTGATCCATGCTTGCCTAGACTTCCAATACTGCATTTGGATGAGGCTACATTAATCACATTTACATTTCTAAACACAGAAAGTGCAAGAGAACAGAAGTGAGGAGATGAAAACTCAACCTTATACCATGCCCTGGTCCGCATATTATGTTGCTGATTTTCAGATTGGAACAACCATCTACAATTGAGATACAATCTTCCCCTGCATTTTCAAGTAAATTTAGCACTGTCTTCACAAAAATCAAATTATTAAGAAAATTTTATCCTATAAGTTGATAGAGATGTCCAAAAATACCAGTTCCAATTCGACAATGGTTAATGGAAACGTCTCGGCTGCTAGAAAGATGAATACCATCAGTATTTGGACTTTTCGCTGGGGCGTCTATAGTTATGTTTGAGACTGTGGCAGATTCGGAGTTCTCAATATGAAAATGCACGTGAGGGTTGTCCTTAAAGCTTAGTCCGCTTACACTAATGTTTTGGCAATGTGAAATATCAAAAGCCTACAAAATAAACCTTTTATTAGTTAAATGCCAAAAATAAATGCTGTCATGAGTTATTGAAAAAGTCATGTTTATAAAAAGTTTTTAGAGCATCCAAAACTTACAGTTGGTTTCCTGCGGTCCTGAAAATAGAGGTAATAAAAACTGTTAGAAACCTAGACTGAAGCTTCACCAATGTCAAAAAAAAGGGGTTTGAAACTAATACGTAAGTTAACTAAGTTGAAAGTAACATTTAAAAGATTCAAAAAATGAAAGAGAAACGTTTTAAGCAAACAATATTGAAGACGGCAACCAGTTACAAGTACATCTGCTCCCGAAAATATTTAACATAGCTTATATATACATCCACCTAATTATAAAACTCTATGAATGAAAAACAAAATGTACCAAATACATAAAGCTGATAATTAATTTGCGTCAGTTAATACGTTATCATTAAATTTTCCCTTTTACTTGGTGTTATTATAAAGATTTAAAAATAACGTATAATTAAAATCTGATTCGTGTAGTTGACTTACATTAACATCCCACCATTTTTGTCCCCGACCATTAATTGTTCCATTCCCACGTACTGTAAGGCCGTTAACATGTTTAATATAAATCCACTTATCACAATGAGTGGTCAAACACGTCCATTCCGAGGGTTCAATTGGTGCAACTATATTTCCATTTATCTGCAAAATCAGTAGAGTTAGGACGTACTTAGACTAAAAAAAATCAGTACTTAAGAATTTCCAGTGATTTAATTACTTTAATTAAATACCTCAATAGTGACGCCCGGTGATACGCAAGGGCCACTCAATATCAAGGGATGAATCAAGAACGTATTGCCAAAAGGAATGTACATCGTCGGAGAAGATGACAATGATGTGCATGTTGCTTCCCATGTTTTGTTGAAAGCCTATATAGAATTTGCAGAAAAAAAGTGCTTAGTCCACTAATTAATAGTCCATTAACACCTAATTCATCTATTAATGGATAGTTAAATACATTGGTTGTATCGGTCAAGCCATCTCCAACTGCACCATAATCCAGAACATTAAACACTGGAGAATCAGGTACTGAAAAAACCAATGAAGGCAAAAGTAGTAGAGCAAGAAAGTATGAGATGAGCATCTTCATTATTATCTTATGGAATCCTGAAAAATTAAGGAGAGCTTATATATACTGGTTATAGAAAAGTACTTGCCAATAACCTAAGTAATTTGCAATTATAAATGCATGCAATATTTCTAGGACTTATCTGATTCCGAAGTATTGTTGTCCTAGTAAACTAGTCCACAGTGTATTTTAATTCAAACGTGACACAAACTAGGAACTAAATAATCAAGCAAGAAATTAAAATCCTAGTCCAGGAGTTAATTGACTACTCTAGAAGTGTAACGTACCACGTGAAGTAAAAATGAACAGAATTGAGGGTATAATTGGAAAAATAATATTTAGCAAGGCGACGACATCTAAAATTTTCCTGTCCAGATAGGATAAGCAGCAATTTGATTGGTCGAATAATTTGGAACCATAGAATTCTGAGGAGAAGAATGGGTCAGCGTTTGGGTCTAATGAAAGTTCATGTGAAACTAGAGTTCTGGGGAGAAGCTGAAACTCTTCAATGGCGGCTTCAACCACAGCTTGTCTGACAAATGTAGAACATGGCTTTAGTTCCAAGCCCCGATTTGGCCGCTTATTTCCCTCTAAAAGCGCCCCGCGTTTCTTGGCCATGGCTCCTAAAAAGAAGGTATCCCATTTATATTACGCTAATTCAGTTCGAATCGAAAATTAAGACATTCCCCTTAATTTGTTGGTACATTCATAAGTTTTCTCGTATTGGCACAAACTTTATTAACCTCCGCATCTTGATGCTCATCTAAAACCTTATTTACCTAGAACAATCAAACTTGTTTGAAGCAAATATTATACTTCTAGTAAGCATGATGAATACATGATATATGTCTTTACATAAATTTGGATTATTATATATACTATAGTTAATTTATAACTTAAAACAAATTAGAATGATTTGGTGTACCACGTGGTGAGGGGCAAAGTTATTGTTGATATTACGGGTTCGGCCGAATCCAATAACTTTGGTCCAAATCTTGTATTTGCCTTAAGAAATTCATTGAATATATACAGAATATTAATCTAGAACTTATTAACATAAAATGACTAGAATCCTAAATCCATAAAATTTATATTCTAGCTCCGCCTTTGCACGTGGTGTATCAGAAATCTTGTTTCGTTATAGGGTGGGAATGGGTTTGTGATAGGACCTCTGAAGTATAAGTGCGTAATGGAAAAATTGGGACAAGTTTGGTGGTTCTGGTGTATTATCCCACTCTTAATTCAGTTAAGTATACATCTAAAGGGTGCTTGATTAATAAAAACAGTGAACTTGATTCTATGGGCTAATACTACTCTTATAAGACTAAATTTGTGCAGAATTTACACTTAGGCACAATTGTTTTTTCCTTTAAACATAAATGCACTCCCTCAGTTGAGAGGATGCTGATCTTTTGCTCTGCAAATTCGCACCTTTTTGTGCAGTGATTAGTGAAATACCATCTTATCAAAACGAAAATAAATGTCAATGTAAACCATCATTCTTTATATAGACTTTGGATCAAATTACTAAATTCTGTTTTACATTCACATAAGCTGAGCTAAAAGAGTACCACAATATATAGTAACTAATAATATAAGAATCACTAATGCAGGTGAACAAGTATGATGATGCTTGGAAAAAACAATGGTACGGAGCGGGACTATTCTACGAGGGCGGAGAACAAGTGGAAGTTGATGTGTTCAAAAAACTGGAGAAGCGAAAAGTTTTGAGCACTGTGGAGAAAGCTGGGCTTCTATCAAAGGCCGAAGAGCTAGGCTTTACGCTGTCCTCCATAGAGAAGTTAGGTGTATTTTCGAAGGCCGAAGAACTTGGTCTGCTTAGTTTGCTGGAGAAGGCCGCGAGTTTCTCTCCTTCTGCTTTGGCGTCGGCAGCGCTTCCTATTTTAGTGGCGGCTATACTAGCAATCGTGTTGATACCCGATGATTCTGCGGGTCTTGTGGCGGTCCAGGCCGTTTTGGCTGGAGCACTCGGGTTGGGAGCTGTCGGGTTGTTAGTTGGATCAGTGGTTTTGGATGGGTTGCAGGAGGCTGATTGACCACCGTGTATATCCAACCTCACCTGAAAACTACCCAAAAAAGGGAAAAGAAAGGAACCAATTCCTGGAAAACGGCAAATAAAGGGGATATTTTTATGCTTCTTACTTTTTAGGTGTCACTGTGAGATTCATATTGTCTGTCAATTTATTTGGAATTTTGGTGTAAGTTATTGTTGTTGTAAGTTCTAGCTGTTACATGCCTTAGTTGACATTAGATTTGTGTTGAAAGTTGAAGCTAAACCAATTCTTAAGGTTACGCTCTTGAATAATTTTTGTAGTTATTGTATGTGAAGAAGTAGTATAATTAATCAAACCTTGTTCTTGCACGACTCTGAAACTATTTAGTACAAATTTCTGAATTCACTAAAAATTGATTTTGGCCTTGCTTTGTTTATGAACTAAACAGTCTTTCGAAAAAAGAAAACCCACCACAAGCTAGGTACAAAACGTAATAGACGAAATAACTTCGGTGGAGTTGAAAGGAAGAAAAAAAAACTTTTGGAGAAGAAGAGTTAACGCACAAGTCAGTGCAGAAAAAAGGAAAAAACTAATTCTTCAATGGAGATGCGGGGTATCGATCCCCGTACCTCTCGCATGCTAAGCGAGCGCTCTACCATCTGAGCTACATCCCCGTGATATTGCTAGTCATATAGCAATTAAATAATTAAACATATCAGAAAGTTTCCCTCTTCGCCCCCTTTGTTATTGTCCATGTACCCGAACCCAAGGTGTACGCGTGCGCAGGTATATTGATCTTTCATGAACTTGGCTTCGATTCTAATGAACTAATGATGCGTTAAAGCATTTGATGTACTTTTAAAGACTCATAACTGTGCAAATTTTAGTGTTCCAAATTGCTTTCCATGCGTATGTTGAATGTCTCGGTGATTCTCATCGTCAAAGTTCTCCGGGCATGAGGACTGGGTTGTATATGCAGCATCTATTCAAGCTTCAAAGTAGCGCGGCACAATGACTGTAAGGTAAACCAAGCAATAGACAAGGATTGAAAAGATGGTGATTTTCTGCTACTGTTGTTATTGAACATTTAATTTGGTTAGACACTCTTAAGCTTTTCCTGCTTTTTCGTAAGGCTAATCCCAAAACTTATTTCGATTTCCTGTCAATTCCATGGAAATAGCCTCTCGTTCTAGTTCCAAATTATCTGAGTGCCAAATTTTTTGAAGTTCTCTGTGTTGTTCTGAGCACTAGTAGCTTAATCCGATGCATGGTATTTGTACAGCCTATCTTCCTTTGACTTTTACATTGTCATGTCTCTATTAGATGTAAACACATCGCAGCGCTAACTAATTCAGAGGTTTTTATATGACAATAGCTACCCTGTTATAATGAAAAGTATATTGTGCTAATTTCTAAATATCAAGGAGTAAATAAAAAATATAGTGTAATAGCATTCAATTAGTGATAGAAGGAATTTGTTATTTGAAAAGCAATCAAAACATCTGAGGCTGCGACTGCCCAACTTTTAGAAACTAATGCTACTGACAATTATCTCTGCTAAGATCCCTCCTCTCTTACCCTCTTCTTATTTTTGGCATTTGAAGAACACTGAACAACTATAGCTGGGCTTCTTACGGTGTGTTGTCATTTTTGCCTCTCTGGTCATCAGGCTCTGTTGATCTGTACTTGTAGCGAGTAGCCCAGAGGAGATAATGTAGGAAATTTAACCCACTTAATATGCACATCAACCAATAAAACCTTTCAAGGTGATAATGATTCAAATTACTCCCGTAGAGCCATGGCGTTCGCTGAAACCTACCAGTTATATGGTTTACTATTGATACGATCACTGAACTAAGGTAATAACCCATGGCTAGTGATGCCCAAGAGACTGCTGTTGCCAATGACCTCATGCTTAAGGGGGCCTCTGTGAAGAAGAACTCCATCAAGCCAGCCAAGCTGAAGAGATCAGCTGATCCCAGGAACAGATATTGCAATGCTACCCAAAGAAATGTTATAGGTAGTGGTTCAGTTGAATTCATTAAGCCAGATTGCGCTGCCACTCTCTTCCGCTTCATCTCCACTAGAGCTGCAACAGTCATGGCTACAATTGATAGGAATAGCCCGGTTCCGATTCTCTGTAGATGAGTAATGCCCATTTCACTCTTAGTCGCTGCCCTGGCGAAGGGGATTATAATATGATTATATACTGGTGCCAGTATCATGGTGAATATGACTGGAAATATTGGAAGAGAAGCTGGTGGAACTTTTAGAGCACCAATATATGTGTTCATGGTGGCTGCTTGTTGTATAGAAAATGTTGAAAGCTGAGCCAAGCAACAGTTCAGCATAACGGTTGACATAAATATTGGCAAGATCTTGACGACTGTTTTCACCTCTTCTACTTGTGTGACTGTGCAGTGAAGTGATGGGTAGGCTGCTTTGTTCATTGTTGATTTATCGATGAACTTCTGGTCCTTCATTTCACTCTGAATTTCTTCCTTCCATTCCCCGTGTCCTTCTTCTTCGTGACTTATCTCAGTTTTGTTTTGGGGGGATTTCCTCGTGTCTAACACATTATTGATAGAATTCTTAGGAAAAAGAGAGTTGCAAAATGCTGCTACTAGAACCTGTTGAAACAATTCAATGAAGATTACTCTATTTTAGTATGCTGGTACAGGATGCAGGCAACTAGAAGTCTAGAACATACCTTAAAAATGGTTGTAAATGGGCTTCCTTTGGGAACTTTGATCCTGTAAGTCCCAGATCCAAAGAGGAAAATGGCAATTGAGCTCAATATTGCTACGGTTGAGATACCAAAACCCCACTGCCAGCCTTTATTATCTTCTACCCATACTACTAATGTCACTGCAATCAATGCTCCACAAGAGAGGCAGAAGATGTAATAATTGAAGAAGGTAGATCTGTGCTTCCTTCCTTGTGGCGAATTCTCATCGAATTGCTCCGCTCCATGTGCAGGAAGTGAACCTTTTATCCCTCCAACACCCAAGGCCACCAGGTAGAGGCCACCAAATAACATTGCTGCTTGGCCACGACCAGCTTCGTTACAGGAGGTGTTTCTGTTTATGGATGCACAGATAGGCGGCCTCAGGGAAGGTATGCGAGCTTGAAATGTGAGCATCAATAGTCCCTGTTCCAATAGTTTTGATTATTAACAATTCATGTGACATGGCGTCCTGCTATGTTATCATCTTCTGAGTGGTTATCTTTCATGTCTCCGAAAGGAGAAAGGCTATGTGTCGTGTTTTCTTTACCATGCTAACTAAGAACTAAAGAAGCAGAATGTTTGTCATCGTGTTAGGAAGCATAGGTACTTCCTTTTAAGAACCATACAGTTGTCCCTGCAAAACTATTATGTCCATACACAAAGCCCATCTTTTTCTGGGTCAGAGAAAAGCCATGGACAGTTCTTTATAGAAGTCTTGATCACTTGAGAATTTTATCTGGTGAAGTCGGATGAAACGGACTTTGGTCAGGTGCTCAATACCTATCTTAAGTTGTGCTTTTTGTTACTGTATTTCTGTATATTGAGCAGCTCATTATTTGAGCTTTCATTATTTCTCCATGAAAGCTAAAGCAACAATTTATTACCAGTATGTCTTTTTCATTTTAAAATAACCTGAAAATGAGCTGCACCGATTTATGTACCATAGGTCATCAACGGGGTGATTGTGCTGGGTCCCATTTTTCTCATTCCTGATATCTAATTGGACAGAACGAACTCAAGACATGTGAAGTTTGATGTACAAACATTTGTTCTTCTATAAATAATCTTTGTTTCTACTATGCTACTGACCCACAGGTTATTAAATGGCATGAATAGAAATATACATGATGTGGGGTAAGTAAAGTAATGAAGTGAGTCTTATGCTTGCTACTATTGTTAGTGTGTGTTTGCTAGTATTCTTAGTGTATTCATGACAATAATATGAGTGTGGCATTACTGATTCTTCCACAGACGACCTCATATATCCTTATAACACTATCTTATGGACTAGCTGGTAATTGCATTGAATTCTGCTATCTCAAATGCAGACCTAAAAGAGCTGACTGTTTTTCTCATATTGCTGCAATGGTAAGACGATGCACGCCTGCTAATGATATCCTATTCCTTTTGTCCAGTTTCCTGTGATTGTTATTAAGGTCCAGATTGGCAGGTGTAGGAAGGTGTACTCTATCTACATATGCTTTTGGATAGTAGCAGACTATACAATGCTAGGAAAACATTGATCTCAAAGAGATTCAACAAGTGTTATGTGGTTAGTGCATGTTATTGAACAAATGATAATCTCAAAGACACAGATTACTTACCATAAATTCAATTGCTGCACTAATCAGATAGATGTAATAGGTGGTGAGGCAAGCATCAGATGAAAACCCGCCAAGTAGAGCGAGAAGGAAGGAAGTTCCCATAAAGTTGGTAACTATGTTGGCTGAAGCAGATGGAGAAAAATTCATATTTTTTGATAGATAAAGGACTAGATTGCTCGCAGTTGCCAGGTATGCTAAGTTCTCTAAAATCTCCACCACTACGTCCACAATTGAAAAAATTCAGATTGTCAGTTGTTACAATCTATAATTTACCTTAATAAATAAATTTAGCCAGCTTATAAGTACTAATTCATGAAGTTCATTGCTGTAGCATTAGAAGCTAACATAGTGTATGGGATTCAAATTGTAATGAAAGCAACATGTGCATGAGGAGAGGTGGTTTACTGACCCAACACAAAAGAGGCGGCAACCACACCTCCATGACATCCTTTCATGGCTGGCCTGTTTCTCCAGTCCACGTAACCTTCCCACATGGTCAGTGTCTTCGCATGATCCTGCAGCACAGTGCACATAAATTTAGTAAAGATTTGCTGGAGGGAATATAAAAAAGAAGAGATGAGAGCGGGAATGTGCACCATCTCTCTCTCTCTCTCTCTCTCTCTCTCTCTCTCTGTGATGTTTCTGGGATCTTGATGTAGAAGTCCCTAGTGGAAAGTCGTCCAGTGCTACAAGGAAGTTATGCCAGTGTCACCTTTAAATACTGAAAGGATGGGGATGTCAAGTTGTGTAGAAAAATCTGGAATCTCTGAATGTGACCCTGCACTTAGTAATATCTTTTTGCTTAACGTATGGTAAAACCTCATATATTTANCATAGTTTACGTGGAATAATTTCATCTTTATATTAGCTTGAGCTGCTTGGTTCATTTTAGTTTTTTAACTGTAGACGTTTGGTTTTTGAGTATTTGTGTGTCTCGTCGTATTTCTTCCTTCTATCACAAAGTGCTATATGTTCTGTGTAGCATGTGTTGTAATGCTTTTCTAAGGGTGAACGGAATCCAATAAATTGAAATAATCTGATGAAATAGATCTCACGTTCAAGCATGTTGGGAAGGTAAATAAAACTCATGATGGGATGTTGTACTCCTTTAGTTTTATCTTCAGCTTCATCTCACTCCTATCCCACTCTGCTTTCTCTTTTCTAAATCAAAACTCAAGTGTTATATATTCCCCTCCCTCTGCTTTGATCTTCTTCCAGATATAGTCCATGCCCTGGTACATGTTAACTTACCTTGAGTCACAGGGCTCTGTTTGAAAAATAACCTTTTTCTTTTTGTGTCTTTGTGAACACAACACTGAGGTTGGAATCCTGAGGGACATGAAACGGGGAGAAGAGAGGAGGGTTCAGGTGGAAGATGATGAACTGAATAACTATGTTAAACTTCAACTCCTGCTTTATGATGAATTACTATAGTTTGAACATTTGAATAATGGAATGGTCATCTCATTTTGTTTAATAATATTCTCTATTTGATTTTCTTTGTATCTCGTGACATAATCTATTAGAATTGCTCTATCTCTGTCTTGATGCTCGTTGGTAAAATGAGATTATTCATTATAGTCGTTGTCTATAAAGAGCGGTCAGTTTCTACTTCACGTGGGGCTTGTCCTTGGCAGTGTCTGTAGAGGGTTCTCAACTTTGCCATTGCTTCTTCTTGGTACTTGAGTTATGGCATTAATTTCAGCTTATCATCTGAGTGGAACTCATGTCTGCAAGTTTCCATGTGGACCCTCTTATTATGGGAATTATACTCCTAAAGGTCTCAAAATTGAGTGGCTAGAAGTCCTTAAGGTCATAGCTATTTACCATGCGCTTCCTTCTAATGTCCTGTCGCACTCTGTTGTCTAAGCAAGCAATTTCAGATAGAACGGCATGAAGTAAGAAAACCTAACAGTATTAGCTTGTCCACGAAAAATAATATATTTTACTTTTACTCAAGCGAGTGGTATCAAGTTGTAGCGGCCTAGCGGGTAGCCTTTTCCAATTATGTAATGGCACAGAAATTGTAAATTTTTGATCTCCTTAAAGCATATATATATATATATATATATATATATATATATGCTTTAGATCAATCATGTCATTATCATAATTTTTCTTTTCAAAAAATTGAAATTGTTTGCATCAATGACATCCTATAGTCCTCACACCAAATTACCTTCTTCCAAATTGTGTACCCTGTGATTTCAGATTTTGTTTTTCAATAAAGAGATGGTGTTCCATAAGCTTTATTTTCTTCTCTGTTTTTAAATAGGCCAAGATATATATCCAATAGTTTCTAAAGATTTTCAGGATATTTAATATGCTTGGACATTAGAAACAATTCCACCATCATATCGCATATATGTTGTTGCAAGCAATGATGAAATACCAAGATACATCCCTGACTCCCTTTTTCGGGTCGTGCTTTTTATTTTTAAGATCAACATTGCATGTGCTTTTCCTAATTTTATGTTGTGTGCTTTGAGCACTAGGTTCTTTTCTAAATCAGAGATGTAAGAACTTTTTAACTTCAGTACATCTGAATGTTTTTCCATTACCATGACATAAGTTTGATAGTAAACAGGTAATGATTTTATGGAAGTGGTGTTGTTTTTTGGCCATCAAACTGAAAGGTTACAATTATAGGTGCTGGTTTCATGACGTGCATTGCACAGTAAGAAGGGATTATTGGTTCCTATATATGGTATGTTGAGACGTCTAGAACAGTTGGAATCTTTGACATTACTGTTAAGTTTCGCAATTATGTTTTCCTCTCTTGTTTTTTTTTTTTGAGGGGACTCTTCCTTATTAGTTGTTCTTTTTTTCTTTACTGTGTTCTTGTATAATCTCCTATAAATATGTGGGCAAGTTCATCATTATCTGAAGTCAAATATCTTGCAAAACTTTATGCCGATGCTCATCCACCCTTGCATTAGTTCGGTGGACTTCGGATGTTCTACATCCTTCTTATGCTCAACTGAAGGAGCTGGAAAACCATCATTTAAGACATGTCTGGTTATGCCAAGTCGACAATGCATCTTTTAAGTGTTTGGACTCTGGATTCTTATCCATAGTCCAGGTTATGGCAAGCTGATCATGTTGCAACTAACTTTTAGGCCCATAAAATAGTAAATATGTTCGATGGTTGCTAATGATATTCCTATTGGGACCTTACCAAGCATTTTGTGCTCAATTTTGAAAGCTCCTATTGTGACAGGGAGGCCTTAGTCAAGAAATTGGTGAATTGGGTCAAAAATGTCCTCGTCATTCCTTTCTGTGGCTCACAGGCTTTTTAGTGTTCCCGCTGTATATTTATCTGTACTAACTGGGCTGAAGTGCTTCTTTTTTTTCCCGCCTCAGATTATTGCATTGCTTGCTGCTTTTGGAATCCTTAAATCGTTTACTTCATCATCTTGGGAAATTCAAGATGAAGAGCCAGTAGCCACATAGTTTTTAACATTACTCTCCTGTGCCTATCATTTTTGTCTTGGAGTTCCTGTATCTGGCCTCTGGAAAGAGCCGGTGGATGGGAGTGGGATGTGAAGTGGATATAAGTATTCCTATTTCTGGACAGAGATAGGAAGTTTTTTGTTAGGAAAAGGACCTGGACAGGAAAAGGCTTACCTGATTGGTTGCTTGGTCTCAGGAGTCAGGGGTCACATGTGCCCTTTTCCTTCTGAAAGAGGGAACTCCAGTGGACAGTGGTGCTATTTTGAAACCTAAGTAGACCACTTGAATGTCCTATCTGGATGATGCCAGATGCATTTGATAAACAAAACTAATTCAGTTTATAGCTACCACGGTCTAAAATATTAGGGACCTTGGTGTAAATGTCAGCAAATGATTCATATATTAAAAAAAAGGTTCAGCAAAAATAATTCTGAAAAACACTGGTTTCAAGGAAATACATCTGTGGCAATTGATTTGCCTAGCATATGCAAGTTTGACACTGTTAGCTAAGTTGTGATCATTCTTTTTACCTTACTGGCTGGAGAGACGTAGTAACCTGCAACTCTTTACTGAGTTAACATACAAATGAGTTAAACCTGAGACAAGCTACCAGTCAACCTGTTTATTCTTACCCTTGTCCTTGTAGTTAAAAGGAAGCTCATTCCCAGAAACAAACAGGGGCATAGCCTTTGTACAGTTGAAGTCCTAATCTTTTGTAATCTAATTCATCATGTAAAGAATGAAAATTCACGTATTGAAGAGCCGGTCTGAAAAGATGAGTGTGATGTTTGTAAGACGGAGGATGAAAGAGATTATTGTATTGGTAAAAAATAAATGTTACACGTGGAATTATATGAGGATGACAGGGCAAGATACGTGGATCACTAAGAAGATGACAACTAGAGTGTCGCATTAAAAGATTCACAATTTACAACAGGTACGAACAAATCACTTACGAGACGAAAGGGTACGGTTGTTCGAGCCTAAATTACTCAGACACAGGCAGGATGAATCAAGACAGTAAAGAGGGAAGATTCATGAACCTCTAATTAATGTGGAAAAAGAATCAGAACCGTTACAGAATCTTCATGAGCAGTTACAGTTGCCAATTATAACATTTCATTAATGTCATTAATGCTCATAATGATTCGGTCATAAAAGGGAAGAAACGTTATGTTTGTAAATTTCTATATAAGGGAAGGGAATTTCACTTTTAAGGACACGTTCTGAAGAACATTGGAATATAATTATTTTCTTGTGCTTTCTATTGATTACTTTGTTATTTCTAATTCTGATTTCCTTTCTTATTTTTGAGAGAATATTGAATTTCTTGATTATCATTAACCCGAGTATAGGCTTTGACTGAGAATCTAATTCTTTGGTTAAACAATTATCATAGGGAAAACTGGAATTGCTGGGATTTTTGTGTGTTTAGAAGTCTTTTCTTTCGTCCCCTCTAGCTGACATTCTTTAAGAATAATCTTGACCTTTCTTGAAAGGTATTTTGGTATAATTAGGAAACAGTCAAACCATTCTGCAGGCAGGAATGTACTACAAAGAACTTAGATGTTAGTATAATGACATAGAAAGTGTAAATTCTCAAATTAGTTCACATGACTATGTTATACTTTCTTCAGAATGTTGGTAGGAAAGTGTTCATATCAGGCACTTGGGCGCTTAATTTTGTTAAATGCGTGCAGTGTTTATCCGAAGTTGAAAAGACACTCGTTCAGGAATCTGGTTGGTAGATATCTTACTATAAATATTTCCCTGGTACACTTATTTATAATTTAAAGGACCTTTTTTTTACCTTCATGAGACGCAAAGTGCTAATTTATTCGACCGACAGTGGTACCACCAATTTTTTTTTGGGGTCTCAACCACCGACTAACTGATTTTGGATTGTCTTTTAGCACTATAGAGAAGTATTAACTAACTTCAGTTTTCTTCATCTTCCTCTGGTTTGGTATATGGTCGATCCTAAAAGTTATTCGGAAAATTAGATTGGTCCCGTAATCAAAGCCGTCCAAAACTTATGAAGCATATGACTCTAGGGGAACTCACTGCTTTCACCTTTGAACTAGTAGTACAATAAGTATACTAGCTTTCTATCTCAATTGTATACTATTGTTGATTTTTTTATTTTTTATTTTTATTTATTTTTGCTTTTCTGTTGTCAACTTGAGAATATTGAATCTCAAGTTTTTGAAACTCCAATATGGATATTGAACTGTTAAGTGTTTAATCTAAATGGTCCTTGAAGTATTTCACTTGGTTCCTGTAATATGCTGGTGACCAAAATGCACCTGTTGTTGTAATCGTTTTGATCTAACAGCTAAAAGCCGTTTGCTAATAATCAGAGAAACCTAGTAGTTATCAGCACCAACCGAAGAGAAGATTAAGCAATTAGAATCAAATGAAGTCAAAGTATAAGATATTGAAGAAGGCGGAGGCTGACAGTATGATGTAAAGTTCAGAAATCATAATGTGAAATTAACCCTTAGTACTAATACATTTGGGATCCAGAGTAGTGCCTAAGCAGACACTTGGCTATGTGATCATTGATATAAGAAAGAAAAACAAAGGTCATACAGTTGAGCATATAATTGAAATCAGGAAAAAGTTGTGCATAAAGCAGAATAGCTTATATTATCACTAGTTTATACTTTTCTTTCCTCCTCTAGACTCGCACGTCCTTTAGTCAAGTTCTTCTGTCTTTTTTCTCTTTCACATTGTTTGGCTGGAAATTATGTATAAGCTTATTAACATCTTAAAGGTTTTTTAAGTGTAAATGGTTTATTAAGTATAAATGGTTTTATTAAAGAGCATGTTCTTCTACGAATTAAAGTTCTGAAACTGATCCATTTCTTATTCCAAAGAAAGAGAAAAGTCTTCTTAACAAGCCTGGTTTCTGATTTCTCTATTTGGTTCTCTTGAACAAATTTTTGAATTGGGATTGAAAGTGTCCAACCATATTTGTTTTATGAAATAATAAATTTAACACTTAAAAAGTTGGTGACATATATATGATTTAGTACTTAGTAATTATGTAAAAATGAACTGTTTTTTTAATCCGAACACCACAAAGATAACTCGCTCTCTCACTCTCTCCTTATGGTTTGCTGAACTGCTCCTTTCGTTAAAACACACGATTAAAGAAGAAAGGATGTATAGAAAGAGATTTGGTAGGTTTTCCATTACCTGTTTATGATCACTATTTTCTTTTTCAAGTAGAATATGTTTCTTACTATCTATTTGTGAGATACACTAACTAATCCTCTATCTCTATCCACGCAAACACTTGGCTACAAATCTGATACGTGAAAAAAATAAGAAATTCTTAAATATATTTAGTGGTAACATCTTTCTTTCAAACAAAATTTGAGATCCACATTTCATAAATTCCTATTAATCTTTGGTATCAAATTTAAAATTCTTGCGTTCTTGCACGTTTATCGTGTCTAACTGGAGAATTTATAATGAAGTTACAATCTTTTTTAGATGTATGAAAATTAACTCCTAAGGATAAAAGCCCAGCTCATACAAAATATTATAGCACCGATTTCATGCAGTAATAAGACACCCTATCCTTGTTCCAATCTTATAGGAGGAGATAAAAAAAAAATTCTTAAGTCAATAAATAAAATAAATTTGCATATAAAAAAATTAGATAAATAAATAAAAACTTCATCTAATCTTTATAATATAACTTCAAAAGAAGATTGTAAGGTGTATCAGTTACTAATTCCAGCATTATCCTTTCTCTTCTCTTTTATGTTCTGTTCCAATTTTGTTATCTTCCTTTTTATCTTCCTTTATATATGCATTTTGCTCCTTTCTCATTCAGGAAAATTCTCTTTATTCCATATATTTGTCCTTATCAGCATATTAAATCTTTGATCATACATATATTGTAAGGCATTTCTCCATTTTCCCTCAAGAAGTAGATGAAACACATCTCCAAATTCCAAGATTTCACCACTATGAGATTGTGTAAACATGTGCTGGGATTCTTTAATAATGGTCCACAAATGTTACCACTAAAGGATGTGGTGCAGCGGATGCGACTGTTTTTCCCTTAACCAGAGGTTTTGCGTTCGAGCTATGGGTATGGAAATATTGTTGGTAGGGAACGCTTCCCCCCGAATGGGACCTAAAATAGGAGTTATAGTAGTTTCAGCTATTCAATTCGAATGAGTGCCCTCACTTCCTTTTCTTACTACGATATGCCCTAAAAAAGAAAAAATACAACATAACGTGAATTCGGATATAGTCGGGCTTCAATGCGAGTATCGAACACCCGAGGAAACCAAAAAAAAAAAAATGGTCCACAAATGTTGCGGAAAAAGACATTTGAGGAAAGGAACTTTAACCAACAGTGTTAGTGATCACAAAACAGTAGTGACACTGACACATTTAAAAATATTTTTTAATATTACCTCTTTTTGCTCGTTCCAGAGAATTAACATCGGTTCTTCACTTACCCTCGAATGAATTAAAAACTATATTTTTCCTTTTTGACTGATTGACTCGTAGTATTGTTAGAGAGTTCTTTGTTATATTTGAATGAGTTGAATAATTATAGGCAAAAGAAAGACATATTAATGTTCTTACTTTAATTTTTAACTGGTCAAATTGCTCAGTTTGGCACATAAACATCGGGTGTGTATAAGCTTTTACCATATACTTAAAAATCGTCATAGCCTTTTTAGGTATGTTATCCCACAGCATTTAACGGGTTATGCCATTTGTAACGTTAAATCATAAATATTAACATGCTCTCGTTTGCCTTTCAAATCTTGAGTTTGTTTTCTCCTAGCAATATACCTTACCTTAAACTTCCCCCGCAACCTTTTCCTTTCCTTCTTGAGGAGACAAATATAGAATTAGTTTTTTTTCTTCTTGGGATGGAGAAGGGAATTAAATATATTAAAATAATATCTGAGTCTTTTTGGACTTTACTCTAATCTGACATCTAGCAAGGTATGTCATATATTTTCATTTGGACGTGCCAAATTGTCGTACTCCAATGACATTCTTATAGGGAAATAAGTAGTGCTAGTATTTTCGAAGTTAGAAATTTGCTGTTCTCCGTCAGAAAAGAAAAATAAGTCATTACCTCGTCAAACTTATTAAGTAAGTAGTTCCATAAAAGACTAATTTTAAAATATTTTACATTTTTTTAAATATTTCAAAATTAACTGTTTAGATACTAGTAACATTTATAATATGTTGTATAATTAGTATAGGACGGCACGCCCGTAAGTACCGACACCTACTCAAAGTCAACTCTGATTGCTCAAAAAGAAAAAAAAAATTAAAATTTCGACTTCCATCCTCTGAACAAGCCAGATGTTTCATCAAACTGATTTTTACGATTATAGTATTGCTTAAGTCAAATGATTTCCTATCAAATACCCAAAAGAAAGAAGTCTAAAGAATATACTAATGGTTGCCGTACACGTGCGAATAATGAACTTACGGTCACGGCACCGAAAAAATTCAGTGAAACGAGATTATTACAAAAAGAAACACTAACAGATAAAGTATTTTACAGATAACTTTGTTCAAATAAAAAAACTGTTTAATTTGTACGCTCGTTATCACACCAAGTAATCAAATTGGTTTTTAATTTAATATAAACAATGAACAAAACATTATGAATTTTACGTATGTACAGTCTATCAAATTATAAACTCTTAAGCATACAAAACTTGGTGTTTATCCCAAAATGGATAACAATTAAATTTGTACGCGATTTTAAGAATACGTGGTTTGATTCAACATAAATAATTAGGAATATTAGATAATGAATTAAAGACGAAATAAGCGATCAAATCAATTGTGATGTTATGGCCAAGCCTGAACTTAAATTGAACAGTGACCTCGTCCTCGATTGGACCCTCGGTTCGAGCCCAGTCGTGAATGAAGAACATGATAAGTGAACAAGAACTTTAACAGTAGCTAAAAGGCAGAAAATAAACTTGTATTGCTTTGATTCGCGTGTTACAGTGTGTTTTACAAAAGAAAAACTTCTCCTTTATATAGTAGAAGAGTTTCATCCCTAGTATAAGTCTAAAAAAGGTAAAAATCTTCATTTTCCTGTAATTACTAATCCATAATCGACATCGAGCGAGATCCGCGCCGTGATCTCCGATTGGGAGCGAATATCACTGTAATGACCCAACCAGTCATTTTAACTTTAAGAACCTCGTTCCCTAAAATAAAACTTTTCGTATGTGCTTTTAATAATTTATGACTTGCGGGGATA